TTTGAGGATGTTTTATGCATCAAATTTAGTTGAAAATATCTTCCTCGACAAGGACAAGATTATTACTTAACTAACCTCTAACATATTAATCAGAATGTCTCCGCTCAGATCCCTTATAGATCCACAGACTCATTAAGTCAACTCTTATCTTCTGTCACAAGGTCGAAACACTTCAAAAAACCCTTTACTTCTGCCTTGAATCAAATCCCCCTCTCCCATATCTCTCCTCCTCTCCTCCGTCTCTCTATTAGGCTCTTATCTTAAATTTTAAAAATCCTTTGTACTTCTCAACTGTTTCCTCCTTTTTTCCCCAGAACACTGTAATACTCCTCTTTCACTTTTTTTGCTCAAAATATCGTAGTGAAAAACACCTCATATTCATTTTTAAAATCTCTTGAGTGCGAGAGAGAAACCTGGAGGGAATAAATCCTTTCTTCTTATCTCCACGACTGATTTCCCTTTCCCGTTATTCAGGATGATTCTAGTGTATTTTGCTACAGTCACCCCTGACGCCTGGGCTCCTTTATTGTAAAGAAATTAAAGATGTTTGCACCATGAAACTCCTTTTAGGTAACGTTGGATCAGATCAGCAGCTTTGTTTGTAAAATATAAACCATACCAGTGGCTCTCAATGAACATTTGACCTACTTAAAAGAACTTTGTATGTATTAATAAATGCTACTACACTAGACAAAGCTACTACACTAGTTTTGTTGACTAAGAGAGGAAGGGTTCCATTAAGAGCCCTTTTCATTCAAAGAACCCTTTTTTGGAGACAGTTCTTCAAGGAACGTTGAAAGCATCGGTGTTAAAAGATTCTCACCCTCAAATATTCTAATGTGTACCCATAATTCAAATGTATTTATTAAATGTAGATGCATCTGAAATCCCCTTAATCAATTCATCAATTCAAGATATGCTCTTTTTTTTTCTTACAGGGACCTGGTACTTGGCATTTGGTATTTGGGTCTAATTTGCAACCAGGTTTGTGTTTCTAACCCGACTGCACCGTTTCCATCCAAAAGTGATTCAAATCATTGGGAAGTGCGCATTAAAAGAAATATGAATCCTGTGTGTTTCCATTAAATGTACGGACTTTGGTGAAAACTACGAACTCGCGCAAGTTTTCCACAGAACCGGAAACAAAACAAGTCTCGCATTCTTCTTCTTCTACGTTTTCTGGCGGTTGGCAACCAGCTTGTAAATGCATTACCGCCTTCCCGACCCGGAGTGTAGATATCACCATGGAGAGAGGTGCGCTACATCAGACTTGATTCGAACATAACTGTTTCCATCCCCCGTTATGCGAATCAACATTTTTTCGAATCAACCAAAACCTGGCTAAAGCGAGTGTATTTTAGTTTAGGGGATTTTAATTTGAATTTTGGTGTTTCCATCATAATTTTCTGATGCGATACTTCTAGATGCGCATCTAAACAGGCTGATGGAAACATGGCTATTGAAATAGTAGGCTGTAGCAGTAATGATTTCAGAAGGCCATCCTCTAAAAAAACATGATTGCGAACCATGAGGTTTATGGACTGTACTGGACCACATCAATGTTCCCTTGGCCCCAGGCCAGCCTGAAAAACTAAATCAATGATTAGTGGGAGAGAGATCTATGGGTAATGTAGTCAGTTACTATTTTTGGAATCCCCCTGGGTGGGATCTAGATGAAACCTTTGGAATATAAAAGGGTTTTAGGTAGGTCCCCTGTAGGTTAGGTTCTATGTTGAACCCTCCAAAAGGTTTCCTGGTGGAATCTTTATGAGGTTCTACCAGGAACCAAAAAAGGTTCTCCTTCAGTATGGGGATAACCTTAAAAACAATACATGGGTCTAATGAGCCCCCTTATTTCTTAGAATGTATAAGACTTAATCATGAAATCTTATTTGGAATCCGATCAGTAATGTTGAATTAACTGTCGGAAAATATACTGTTTGATATTTGTTGTTTTTGTTTAGTCTTGATTAATGACCTGTAAATGGGAATCACATTCATCACATTCATTAACATGAATCTCATACATGTTGACATAAAGGTTAAAGTTCATTCTTAACTTTGTAAGCTGCAGTTTTATAGAACAATCTCACCTCAAGTTCCATTTAGTCATGGATGAACTACTGACCGGCCCTGCTGTGCACAGGCCCAGAGGCCCAAATTGTCAAGGGCTCCCTTGGCCTTCACCCTCAACATGTCGCTCAAATTATCACGTACCGACCAGGAGGAGGCTCAGAGAGACCACAAAGTGATGCAAAGCAACTCCAAAGACATGAACTGGGCAAGACAACCACAAGGAGACACAAAATGACCCCATACAAGATTACAGCAAAGAGACACAAAACCACAAAAAGGTGTGAAACAATGACACAGAGACACAAAACAACAAAATAAAGGAGGCAAAACAACCACTCCTATGCTCCTATGCTCCTATGTCAGATGTGGTGGAGCCTCTTGCATATCTGAGCCCAGGGGCCCAGTGATTCATAATCAGCCCATGCTTTTACTAGCAATTCTGGAGTTTTGATGATATCGTATGATCTCCATCAGCAGATAGAGTCAGCCCCAGAAAGTGTTCAAGAAAAGTGCTCAGAAAAAATAAACACCAAAATGGGCCTGGAGGAGAGGTGGTTTTGTTGCGTGGTCAACAATAAACTTTGAATGTTTACATTTTGACCGTTGTTAATATAAAATTTCACAACTGAGGTTGAGATTTTATGGCAAATAAAACTCCATATCGGTATCTACAAAGTAACACAACATTGAGTCATAAACTTACAATACTGAGGCTGTAGGTGCCTTCATAAATCACAAAATGGTTATTGTACAGGATGAAACAGACAGAGTGGAACTAATGAGAGAGGCACAAACACTGCTGTGGTTAATGTTTCAGTTCCCTGTGGCTCAATGATAAAGAGAGAACTGGTTCAGGAGCACAATGAGGTATGACAGCATTAAATGTGTGTCCAAAACCTTGAAATCATCCAAACATGCCTTGAAGATCAGAAGTGGGAAACCTTGATGATGCAATACACATGTGAAAAGAAGAACACTGTCACCATCTAGTGGCTGCAAGGCTGTACTGCATCCTAAATATAACAAGATAGGCGTTAAAGTCTTCACCTGTGGAGAGAAACAGCTCCATCTAGTGGTGATAATCTTGTACTGCATCTTCAGGAAAATATTTCCATATTTCCATCTGGAGTCTTTCATTTTCATTTTCATTTCTATTTGACTGTAACCTGTGTGTATTCTTGTTCACCTATCTTTGTGAGGACCAAGTTTAAGATTGTACAAAAGAGGACATTCTTTAAAAGTAAGGATATTTTGTGTGCTCCTCACCATAAACTGTGTAAAAATAATGAACATAGTTACAGACTCGTCACCCATACGTTGTGGACTCCCATTTAAAGCCTTTAGTTTGGCATCTTGGCTGTCGTCATCTTGGATTTTTGGAGCCAGAGGTGACCATATTTGGACGAGAGGCTGGAACTGTGGAGGATCAAGGGGTGGATCTGACTCATAGTCGGTGGTGATGCTTCACAACACCCTTAGATTAACTTCAAGCCTCAACACCAGCCCTCTACAGTTGTCATGAACACAGAAAATAGCTAAAGAGACCAAAACTGTGTTTTGTACCAGGCCGTAAACATGTTTATTTCTGCTGTTAAAATGGACATTTTAACATGGGGGTCTATAGGGATTAACTTGATCTTTGAGACAGCCTCAAGTGGTCATTAGAGGAACTGCAGTTTTTGGCATTCTCGCATTGGATTTTTTTTCCCCAGCCCTGCTAGCCTGAGTGTCAGACTGAAGCTCCCAGAACCTTCAGTCTGACATGGCTTCCACTGAAGGCGATTTACAAGGGGGAGGGAATTTGATTTTTTCCCTAACCAATCAGTAGAGATCAACGACTCACCCAGAATCTGACGTTATTAGTATCCATGCCTCGGGGGTGCCGAAAACAAGCGAGCATTGCCCGTTTAAAATGTCTCCATCGTCGTGCACGCCCAACTGCATCGCCGTGAAATCCAGTTTAGCAGCTTCCTTAATTTGGTCCTCCATTAACGCGAGTAGTGGCGAAATACCTCGATAGCATCATTAATGTGGTCTGTAGGATCTGTAGCGGTTGCCATTGTTGCTATCCTCACCAGTTACCCACCAGCGAACAGCTTGACATCAGCGTGGCGCTGATTGGCTAATCGCTAGACCCCCGGCGTTCAATGGTCCATCCATCGTTTGGACGAGATAAATCGCAAATTCATTCAAGTATGCCAGACCAGAGATGCAAGCCTACTCAGCTGAGTGGGCGGGGTCTATGGTCTGGAACCAGGCTACAGTCCTGCAGGTTGCCACCTGGTTGAAACAGGAAAGAATGTGGGCAAACCTTACAGCTGACATTTTGTTTTGGATCATCTGATCAACATGAGGGTAAAAGCGTGAAATATTAAAAAAAAAAACCCTGGATGTTACTTTGAGCTCTGAGGTAAATAAGTTAGTAAGTAAACCTTGAGTAAATAATTTTCATAAAAGTTCTCTGTCTGACTTTGTGACTTCTAACTTTAGAAAAAAAGTGAAGTGTATAATTTTGTTCTAAAGAACTAAGATTTATATTTTAAATAAAATAAATCCAAATAATCTGAAATGAAATAAACAGGATGACCTTCTGAGCAGTTCCAATGCCAAGATTCTTTTAAATACTACCTTAACCGAATCCTTCCTTCAGAGAATGTTCAAGGATGAATGTGTGTATCCTCAGCAGGCATGGATTACCCACAATTCTTTGTGCACAATTTGCCTCACACCTGTGACTCACACCTGGGCACTCGCTAACCTATTCCATGTGTGTTCAAAGCAAACCAGAAAGGAATCTTGTCTGTCTTCTGTGTGAACATAAAAGAAATGTGGCTGGACAAGTGACATGTAATCTTGGGTAATATCATGATGTGAAATTTCAGACAACTAATTTAACAACAAGAAATAAAAACAAGACAAAAAAATTTATCAGTGGTCAAATGGTCAAAAAATAACTTTATTAGAGTTGTTGTGATTTCTAGGTTAAAAGAGACACTGATACCAAACAATGTTTTCTTTTTGGCATTTTGCCTTCCATAAGGCAAAAGCTTTCACTTTTTATGGCACTTAAGTTAACACAAAATTTTTCTGAGAGAAAGATCATGTTTGATATCTCAGTCATTTAGACTTTGTTATACTTCAGTGAGGCCTTTCATTCCTTCGACCAACTAAATGTTACTTTTATGTTACATTTAGACATTCAGACTGTAAAATACAGTCGGCTTTTTGTCCGTCCTCATCTGGTGACATTGATTCTTGAGAAAAGTGACACTGACAACTCTTCAGGTGCACCAGTTGGGACAAACTTATGGTTTTACAAAAGGCACAGTATGATTTCAGTTACACAAACACACAAATAACAGCACACACACACACACACACACACACCTTCAGCGCATCCTAAACTTTAGCTTGCGTTCTTGGCGTTCCTCTTCTTCTTTTTCTTTGGTGTTTGCTTTTTGGAGGACTCTGCATTGGAGGAAGCAGTGGTTTTAGGTGTGTTTTGTGAAGGTGGAGCTGACTTGGTTGGTGCTTCTTGTTGTACTTCCACTGGTGCAGCCTGGGCCTTCTCGACTTCCACTGGGATCGCTGGTTTGACCTCACCAGTCTCGACTAAAATTTCAGCCTTTGCTGTGTCTGGTTTCAGGTCTGTTGCTGGATGAATCTGGACTTCCTCAGGCTCAGATGTCTGCGCCAGTTCAGCAGGTTGCTGCTGGATCTCCTCATCTGGTTTAACTGGTTGCACCTCTTTGTCCTCGACCTGGGTTTGAACTTTTACCGCTTCTGGTTTTGTGTCTGTTGGTATCATTTCAGATGTGTCCTCCACAGGTGTGGACATGGCTGGCTGTGGAACCTCCTCAACTTTATCAGGCTGTGGGAGAACTGATTCTGCTGCCTCACATTTGACATCTACCACCTGCTCAGGGACTGAAACCACCTCCTTTTTGTCCTGAGTTTTGGTTTTAAAGTGGTCAAATGCAGAAGACACCAAGTCTTCTTCAGGGTCTGAATCAGCTTTGTCTTCTTCGTCATTGTCCCCGGGTGTGTCCCAAAGAGAGGCAGCGAACTCCTGCAGCTTGGCCTGCTCCTCCTTCAGACGGGACATGTTCTCTGTTAAGACTGGGTCCTCCTTCTGGAGCTCCTGGAGCTCTTGGAGGTCCCCAGGGGTCAGCAGGGTGGGTTTATCAGCATCCTCAGAGTTGGTGTCATCAGTGCTGAGGACCTTGGTTGAGATGTCGGAGTTGGCCTTACGGACTTCCTTGATCTTCTCATAAAGGACGACCCTCTCATCCTGTAGAGCGCGACACAACTTCTCTAGCTTCTGAATCTTCAGGACAAACACATCGTACTCTTTACTTTTCTCCCTTCTCTGGAACAAAAGGAAGGATGGAGAAAATAAGATGCAAAGAAAGTGAAGAATATAATGAAAATAAAACTGGAAAACTAAGTATGAGGGTTAAGGGCCCAGCAGCAAACAATCTGCAAGTTATCAGATTATGATCGTTCATTGGCATAGTGGGCTCGGTTCTCAACAAAACCTCTGAAGGGTCAGCAGAAGTTCAAGAATCACAACGTCATCAACATACCTCTTCAATCATGGTAGTCAGAGCCTTGTTACAGTTTTCGAACCTCGTCTTCCATAGATTTGACTCTTTGTCCATTTTCTTCATCTTTTCTGACATCTAAAAAGAAAAAGTTTAAAATCACAGGGCTGCACTGACGACATCTGGAAACAAAGTCACACAAATGAAAGCTGCAGGAACTAAAACAACCCAGCCACGAGAATAAAATGTTTGCATTGTACGTTTCTGCAAAACACAAATGCATGCATGATTCATTTGTCTCATATCAACATTTCCAAAGTGATGTAGTATATGAGCTGACTTTTTGAGCCCATATTTTTCCGAACCATAACCAAGTTTTTTTGTGCCTAAACCTAACCACAAGTTTCAGCATATATACTGCATGATAACATGCAAATGTGTTGTATTTGTGGTCTACAGAAGCGTACAATGCCAACATTTTTTTCTGGAATTTGGTTTGACTAGGAACATGGACACTAAAGACAAACGCCTCCTACTGGTTACCACTTAGATCACTATAAGCCATCTTAACAACCTCATTCACACCAACAAGGCTTCACAGTTGTAACCACATACATTATCCATCTCCTTCTTGAAGCGGACGTAGATTTCGTTGCTTTTGGCCAGTGTCGCCTGAAACTCGTCAAACTTCTGAGCGTAGAGGGTCAGCTGTGGACAGATGGAAAGACCAGACAGTCAGACTGAAGAACAGACAGAAATCAGCATTATGTTTAAATCAAGTTGGTTTGTGGCTAAACATCAACCCCTCACCTGTCTGGATTTCAGAAAACAATCCTACATATTATTTTCTCAACTTCTGTTTAACTTGAACTAACTATTCAGCTGAGTCACTATTTTATGGCAACAGGGAAACTTAAATTAGCTTGAAATGTTTTACTGTGTTTCCTAACTTGAGACCGACAGCTACCAAGACGCTGATCACTACAGATTCTTGTGACTCTTCTGTGGGCCTAAATCGACTCATTATGTTACTTTTGTGAAATTAAACGATGTAACACTCCTTTTATTTCATGTGTATTGAAAATGTGCTCATATTCAAAACCTCACTGTTTATCAGTTCACACCTGTCAAAGAGACAAAGACTTTATTCCTTAACAGCAGCTCAGTAAAGGCACATAATTGTGTGTTTAAAGAGCCAAAACATTTTGCTGTAAATCTTGGGAAACATGTTATTTTGGATAATGACTGTGCCTCTAAGTGACGAATTACACATTGCATCAGTCATTAGTTATGAGCTGTGCACACTGCTAGAGGCCATTAATCATTCATACTCGCATGATTTTGCTCTCAGCGTTATACATTAGGGAGTTTAGCCTCATATTCAGCAGCTGTCACAAAAATGAACTTAATATTTACACAGAGAAATAAAGGAAGTTGCTGCTCAATCAATAATTCAACATTTAGTCCTGATACAGGACAGAATTCATTCTGCTGACATGATGATTAGTTTGAGCTGCAGCTTGAACATTTGTGGACTCATTCAGAACACCTTAGACCAGGTAACAGTCTTCATCAGACAGGGAAAGTACTTTAAGGCCCAGACACACCAAACTGACATCAAAGAACTTGTAGCGACAAAGGCTGACTGCTGCGTCACCTCCCATCGCCATCGAACAATTAATGCACTGTTTCTGCCAAAGACTTTGTCCAAAAACAATAACCTTCTCTAATATGACAAGTTTGTTTCAATTTCATGGCCTCTTGACTTTTGCAGTTTTTTTTTTACTTTCCTCGCTTCCTTTCGTCCTCTTGTGCACTAAACTGCACTGCCAATTAGAGTGATTTCTCTAACCGAAAGGCTCCGTCACTTATTCAACATGCGGAATCGGCTGACAGCTGACAAAGGCCAACTAGTGCCAACAGTACAGCCTACATTGCAAAAACTAGGGCAACAGATGTTCATCATCGGCCAAACATTGGCCAAAAGCCAACCATGAGCTTGGTGTGTCAGAGCACAAAATAAAATTTGTTGATTAAATTTTAAAAGTGTAAATCAAGTCACAGGTCCTTCAAAGTAAATTCAAATTTCTGAGTGCTGAAAATGCTGTTAATGTTTTTTAAATACAAATAAAACGTCCTCAGGTAGTCAAGTCTTATATCAGTCTAATCCAAGTCCCTGTTTTAGTGACTTGCTTCTAAATGAGTTCTGGGTATTTAATATAGGGGCTTTATCTGAAATTCAGAGCATATAAGTTGTCTGCACAGGGCTCTCAACATGGAGGTGGCGGCTAACAGCTTCTGGTGCTAACTCCATAAACAGCGATAAACAAGGGAAACAGCGTAGACAGAGCTAACCACAGGGGAACTGGAGGGTGGGTGCTACGCTTCTGGGATGATGCCATCCCAGTATCAGCAGTAACCGCCATATGAGCACAGTGCAAATCGGTGGCGATGAGCTAGCCTGTGGGATACAAACATGCACTAACATGCAGCCGTACTGACTTACCACAAAAAAACAACATGCTAACATTTGTAGAGGTAACTGTTGTGCAGATAACTGACAAAACATTAGCATGCTAATATATAGAGTTATAAAAGTATTTATAAAAATCTGTCTCCAGCCCCGTCTTTCTGTAGCTATGGTAACAATCATCTCATCCCGGCTGCTGCTACCAGGTGTGTGCTACCTGTCCTCACCGTCAGCATGTTAATCTTGTCAGTGAATAGTCACCTGTGCCTGCATCACAGTCCCCTGTTCTCTGAGTGTCTGAGTCTGCAGTTTCCACTCAGCAGCCTGAACCAGTAACTGGTTAGAAGAGAACAGACGGAGACACATTACAGACGTTTCTTTACCTTCTTCTTCATGGTCAGCTCCTGCTCCTTCATAGCGAAGCATTTCTTTGTTTTGTCAATAGCCTCCCTAAGCAACTACGGCGACAGAGACAATACACAGTCAATCTGGGTACCGCTACCACATTATGGATAGTTAATGTGTCAAAGAAAAGCTACTGACAAATGATATTTTTAAAAAGGGAAAAAGATGTGTTGACAATAATCATGTATGTTTGTGAACTTTAAAAGCATGGCTGTGATTCTTAAAGATTCACAATTAGGTCTAAGAAACAAAATAAAAACAAAAACAATTTAAGACAGAAAATATCAAATAGCATTAAATGACAGAAACAGCTGGAAAAGAACACAATGAAAACAATCTAATTCAATCAGATGATTATATGTTGGTATTGTACGTTTCTTCAAACTATAAATATGTTGCATTTGTGTGTTATTAGGGACTGTTCATTATTTATGAGGGGGAAGTGGGTGGAGCAAAAAGGGGGAGGCATGTCAAATAATTTCTGAAGCACGGGGAAGAGACTTCTTTTTTTATTTTGGCTTTGAGGGGGGGCAAACTAATTTAAATGGTTGTATTTTGTATTGATTTATTTAAAGAAAATTACACCATTTATCCCCGCCAGAATCTGTAAAAACAGAAAAGGGTAAGTTTTAAAAATTGAATAAATAATATATGGTAGAGGGAGGGTCATGCATTTTCCACCAGTCACTTAGGGAGAAAATATTCGTAGGTTCAGGGAGGGTAAAAAAAACAAACAAACAAAAAAAAAACAGCTACCCTGTCCTCTGATTAATAAAGAAGAGTCCCATATGTAATGAGTCATGTTTTAACAACACTGTGGTTAATGTCTAGGTATGTTTAAGCACAAAAATCACTTGGGTTTGGTGAGGAAAAGATCATGTTTGGGCTAAAAATACCCGTTTTTTTATGGTAAAATTTGCTGCTGGAAATGCCTTGCTAAAAACTAGTGTTGTTGTTTACTGGTCTCGACCAGTGGTCTGCAACTTGGCGGGTGTATTCACCATCCACTCCAGCTCCAGATGACAAAGTCAGCTTATATATTACGTCACTTTAGAAATTTTGATATGATACATATGAAATGTACAAATGCAACATGTCTGTGGTTTACAGAAATGTACAATGCCAACATTTTCCTCTGGCGACTGCATTGATTAGTCCCTTTCTATAAAATCATATTTGTGGTGTTTGTAATTCTGGGTAGGAATTAAAGGTTTCCAGAGCTGAAGAAAACATGCACTCACGTATTCCTTCTCCCTCTTGTGTTTCTCCTCGGCCTCGGTCAGCAGAGCGTTGGCCTGTTGCAGTTTGGCTTCGGCCAGTTTGTACTGCAGGTCGCGATGCTTGTTGATCTTCTCCAAACTCTGCAGAGAGATGAAGAGCACAGAAAAAATCTGAATCTGAAACAATTTCCTGCTTTATCCATTCATTTGCCCAGACGTTTCGCCATTAATTGATAAACTGTTTGGTCGGTAAAATAGTAGAAAAACTATACCTATGCTTATCCCAATTCTCTGAAGACAAAGTTAAAATATTTAAATGTCTTGTTTTGTCAACAAACAAAATATATTGAGTTTATCATTTTATAGATCAATCAACAGCATTTAATAAGCGACACAATCCGAGACAATTACACATAACTTTTTAGTTTTATGTTGACGGCTTATTAAAAAGTGCAAAATCATCAGAGCTGCTGATATAAAAGTCTTTAAGTCATTAATGAACAGCTCCTCTTCATCTAAATGTATAAATGGGTTCTCTGCAACTGTTTTCGAGAAGATTAGAGAGAGTATTAAAGAGTAAATACATTGACCTTTGACCCCTCCCCCCTCACCTCCTCCCTCATCTCGCACTGGGTCATGAGACTCTCCAGTTTGTCTGTCAGGTTGCTGTTTTCCAGGCACAGTTTGTCGTTTCGGTTGCTGTGCTGCTCGATCTGAGCCTGGATCTCTGTCAGCATCGTCTGGAAGTGGCTGGTGATCTCTGTCCTCTTCTCCTCATCCTCCCTGCAGCGCTGAAGGGTCTCCTCCTGGAGGGGGGAGGAGGACAGAGGGGGACAGAGAGGGAGGGAAGGATTGTAGGAGAAAAAGGTGTTCAGTAGTGGCTTTGACTTTACAGTAGGTCAAGATTCCAACAGCAGCTACCATCAGTCTCTTGGTCCCAGAATGCTAAAATAACTTGAGACTGCACTGAACACAGCAGCTCAGCTGCAGCTACACACCCTCAGAGCGTTGTAGTGTCCATGCAGCTCCCTGCACAGAGTCTCCAGTTTGCTGCGAGCTGTGATGCTGCTGCGGCTTTCCTCCTGCAGCTGCTGCCGCTCGTCCAGCAGGATGGACAACTTCTGCTGCAGCACACACATCTTCTTCTCGTCAGAGCGCCGCAGGGCTGCCTGCACACACACACACACACACACACACACGCACACACGGAACAAAAGATGTCTGAAAGTGAGTGCACGGTTTTCCTGTGTGAGTTGTTTTAAACAGAAACCAGTTGGTTAAAGTCTCAGTATCTCACCAGTTCAGCGTATCTCCTGACCACATCTTCCAGTTTCTGCTCTGGAGACGAGAGCTTGTCCAGACTCTTCATGATGAGACAGACCTCTGCAGAGGGACAAAGACAAACAGGACAAGTAAAGCCGGATGTTTATTTCCTTATAGACTGAGAAATTAAATATCAGAAAAAAAAATCACCATTTCTGTCCCCTAAATTTGTTTTATCTCATGAGAGCTTATTCAAACTGCTGTATAAACTGTCAACAGAATCAATATCTGCTCGCCATCAAGAGGAAATATTTTGACGTAAGACACATTTATTTACTTGTCTATTCAAATTTTTCTTTTTTATCTTGTAATATACAAGACTTTAATGTTACTATATGTAATAATTGAGTATTTCAGTACATGTACTGTGAATGTTACTTTTTATGGCTCTGCATTATGTTTTTCGGGGTGGAACATCCATCTGTCCCATTCTCATGAATGCGATATCTCGGGAACTCCTTGAGGAAATTTCTTAAAATTTGGTACAAACGTTCACTTGGACTCTTGGACTCACTTTGGTGGTCAAAGGTTAAAGGTCACTGTTACCATATTTGTCTCATTCTTGTGAATGTAATCTCTCAAGAACACCTTACGGGAATTTCCTCAAATTTGGCACAAACTCTCACTTGGACTCTACAATAAACTGATTAGATGTTGGTGGTCAAAGGTCACTGTGACCTTGTGTTGATCTCAAACACAAATTTTCAAGAACACTTTGAAAGAAATTTTTCAAATTTGGCACAAACGTCCACTTGGAGTCATGAATGAACTGGTCAGAATTCTGTGGTCAAAGGTCATTGTGACCTCACCAAACATGCTTTTGGCCATAACTCCAGAATTTATTGGATAATTGAGACAAAATTTCACACAAATACCTAACAGGATAAAGTAATGAAGGTCAAAAGGTCAAAGGTCAGCTTGACTGTGACATCATCATGTTTTAACGTCATATCTCGAGGCGCAGCCCGGGGGAGGAAGGGGTCCGGTTTGGGGACCTCAGAATTGCATCCCTGCTTTTCGCAGATGAAGTGGTTCTGTTGGCTCCATCACACCGTGACCTCCAGCATGCACTGGAGCGTTCTGCAGTCGAGTATGAAGCAGTTGGGATGAGAGTCAGCACCTCCAAGTCTGAGGCCATGGTCCTCTGTCGGAAACCGGTGGTTTGCCCTCTCCAGGTTGGGGGAGAGTTACTGCCTCAAGTGAGGGAGTTCGAGTATCTTGGGGTCTTGTTCACGAGTGAGGGTAGAATGGAGCGTGAGATGGATCGGCGGGTCGGTGCGGCTTCTGCAGTGATGCGGGCGCTGTGCCGGTCCATCATGGTGAAGAGGGAGCTGAGCCAGAAAGCAAAGCTTTCAATTTACTGGTCCATCTACGTCCCAACCCTCACCTATGGTCATGAATTCTGGGTAGTGACTGGAAGAATGAGATTGTGGATACAAGTGGTGGAAATGAGTTTCCTCTGTGGGGTGGCTGGGCTCAGCCTTAGAGATAAGGAGAGGAGCTCGGACATCTGGAGGGAGCTCAGAGTAGAGCCGCTGCTCCTTCACTTCAAAAGGGGTCAGTTAAGGTGGTTTGGGCATCTGATCAGGATCCTCCTGGGCGCCTCCCGCTGGAGGTGTTCTGGGCACGTCCCACTGGTAGGAGGCCCCGGGGCAGACCCAGAACAAACTGGAGGGATTACATATCTCATCTGGCCTGGGAACACCTTGGGGTCCCCCAGGAGGAGCTGGAAAGTGCTGCTGGGGAGAGGGATGTCTGGGGTGCTTTGCTTGGCCTGCTGCCCCCACGACCCGGCCCTGGATAAGCAGGTGAAAATGAATGGATGGATGGATGGATGGATGGATGGATGGATGGATGGATGGATGGATGGATGGATGAATGGAAGGATGGATGGATGGCTCTCAGGAACAGAAGACATTTGGTCAGATAGTGAATTGGTGACTCTAATCTTGAGACTGTGCTGACTGTATAGATCTTCTGTGTGTGAAGCATCCATGTTTTCACTGACATGGATGGAAACTGTACGTGCAACGTGACTTGTTCGCAGAGGCATACAACCCTGAGGTGGTAATTGTAGTTTTGAGATGTATTATAAGAAGAATCTTCCAGTAGCATTATGGGAAATGTAGGATCCAGTATTTTTGGAGTCGACCCATCAGAAGGAGTAAAAGTGAGGATATCTTGACATAATGACATAACTTTTTGGTCTCTTGCACATGTCGCTCAACCTTTTGAATATGTTTTATAAGAGTTTTGAGGGTGACTGACAAACAGCACCGTCCTGCTGACAGCATCACTCCTAAAACATCATGCTGCCTCACCTGTCTCTATAGCAACTGGGATGTCATCTTTTGGCTCCTTCTTCATCTTCTCCGTCAGTGCCTCCATCGTGCTCTGATACATTCGAAACAACACACTTTTTACACACACACATCACCAAAGGTTAGAACTGAATCTGCAGGTTGTTTTCATGTGTCTTTACCTGTTTGTCCAGGAGGCTGGCTGCAGAGCCATGGGTGCTGATGATGTCCTCCAGCTTTCTGCTGAACTCCTCCACGGGGTTGATGTAGTCGTCGGAGGAGGAGCCACAGGCTGCAGGTGCAGCTGCTGCCTCACCTTCAGTGTTCTTGGCGTCCATGTCAGGCTGGGGGGGCACCAACATCTCAGCTGCTTTCACTGACGTCTCCATCCTCAGTGTTCTGGGAATATTTACAGAGTCATTCCTCCATATGTGCTGTCTGAATGTATGTATATATATACATATATATATATATATATATATATATATAAAGAATTTAATAGACAAACTGGCACAATTTGCTTCTTCAGAAAGTCAAAAGAAAAAGACTCGAATATGATGTTGTTTTCTTTGTGTTATAACACTATGACACCTGCTACTAGACGAAGGCTTGCCTCTGAGATGTGCTCATCTGGATCTGGTTCCAGGCTGCTGGTTGGTTGTTTTCATGTATTTAGAGATGATTAAATCTTTTATGAACTTTTTCTTTTTTATATCAAAGAAACGTTCAGGTGGTCATTTAGATACACAGTGATTAAATCTAGAATTTTGATTTTACTAAATCTGAATCCTTGATTTCAGTTTTGCTTTTTGGTAGATTTCTAAATTTAACTTCTGCTGAAAACTATTTTGTATGTATTATATTGGTTAAAACAGATAGATACAGCACCATACGACACTTTCCAGGAGTCATCCAGTGACATGAAACATGTGGTCAACGTCTGTATTTAACCAGCAGACTAACTCTGTTATCTCATGTACAAAGTATCTGTCAGCTAAATCCACATGTCATATTAATCTTTTAATTCAGTCTCATAAAAGTGTGGGTTTGATGTGACAAATCTCAGCGGTCTGTCAGCGTGTCTGTCGTGTTATTAATGGAACGTGGGTTTAAATATTGGAAGATAATAAGCTTCTGAACTCCTGCGGCGCCTCTCGCCTCCCTACAGCTGCTCTGATTTTATGCACACAGCTTCTGTGGGTCAGTGGAAGCTCCGTCATGTTCAAACAGCAAATCTGATTCACCGGCTACTGTGATGTGAGTCCAGACAAGGTTTAATACTTAGTCCTCTTCTACTTAAAGGGACAGTTCACCCTAAAATCAAATACACACATTTTCCTCACACCTGTAGTGATATTCTCTGTCTTCTCTTCAATATAATGGAACTAGATGGCACTCAGCTTGTGGTGATCAAAGAACCAAAAAATACATTTGAAAACTCAGCAGCAATGTCTCTTTCCAGAAATCATGACCCTGTTACTCAATATAATCCACAGACCTTGTTGTGAAAAGTTTCATGTCGGAACTACTTTCTTTCTACTTATCCACACCCACCAACTGTATCACTGCGCAGAAGGAAGCGAACATCTACTGCTAGCTCACCTAGCACCACTGAGCTAGCTAACGTAACAGCTCTGCCGAGGAGTACACGATCAGTGTTTACATGTCACACTGTCATGAGCACGAGCCTCTCGTCTATGAGTAGATGCATGCTTCCTTCTGCGTGGTGATACGATTGATAGGTGTAGTTTGGTAGAAAGAAAATAGTACCTACAGGACACTGCTCACCTCTTCACTCAAGATTATCCACAGACCTTGTTGTGAGCAGCTTCATGTAGAAACTTATACCTTTCGAACAAAGTACAACTGCCAACCGTATCACCGTGCAAAAGGAAGTGTGCATCTACTCGTGGACGAGAGGCTCATGCTCATGACAGCGCTAGACACTCCTGACTAACAGGAAGCAGAGGGTTTCTGCAAATGGCTGTGTATCACACTCTTGTGTCCTATCCACAGGTTCACCTCAAGAATGTGTCCTTTCCCCTTTACTCTTCATCCTGTACACAGATGAATGCAGGAGTGCCAAGGCAGGCAGCTACTTAATTAAATTTTCAGATGACACTGCACTGCTGTCCCTTCTTCAGGGACCTGAATCAGGCCATGAGGAGGCTCTTGAGGACTTTGTAAAATAATAAAAACAGCCTGTACAGCATCATTAAAACGTGTTCTAAAATCACAGGAGTGAAACTCAGGGATCTGGCCAGCTTTTGTGACCAACAAATGCTCACAAAAGCCATTGCATTTTGGTAAGGGCTAACCCTCGTCGGTATGTCTTGCTTGCCTTAATAATGCACTTTATTGACATTTTATGGGCCGATATTTATTATATTTATTGATTCCTGATTCCACTGTATTCCTAGCATCTTTGTATTTTATTCTACATGTTTATTGTATGTGTTGTGTTCACATGTTGTTGTTGCACTGCTGAGTCTGAGACATAAACATTAATGGGATCCTCCTGTACTGAGCTGTAACGTTAGCTAGCTAGCTCTGTCTGTATCATGATGTAGTTGGCCGGAGTAGTTCAGCAGAAAGAAAATAGTTTAAACTGCTCACAACAAGGACTATATATTATCTTGAGTAATCGGATTGTGATTCCTAGAAAAGAGACATTGATGTTGAGTTTATCAAATGTATTTTTTTTTTTTTTTGGCACTTTGAGCACCACAAGCCGAGGGCCATCTAGTTCCATTATATTGGAGAGAAAGCAGACATCTCTACGGCTGATATCTCCAATACTTGGTTGAACCAGTTGTCAGTGAGATGATCCACAGACTTTGTTGTGAGCAGTTTCATGTAGGAACTATTTTCTCTCTACTAAACTACACCCACCAACGAAATTACCGCGCAGAAGGAAGCGTGCATCTACTCATGGACGAGAGGCTTGTGCTTATGACATTTTTTGGTACTTTGAGCACCAAAGTCAAGTTTCATTATATCTATATCTAAACTATATCTTGTTCTCTTTAAAGCCAGACTCCATTGAGAAAAACTGTTGTGTGACTTTGGTGTTTTAAATCCGGGTTAAAAACATTTACATGTATGTTCTGCATCGCCTTTGATTGAACTTTAGAAATGACCAGATTTCAATGAAGTTTGCCGTCGATATTTCTGATTCTGGCGACTCCCCCTGGAGCTCTTGTTTAGCTCCACCTTGTGGACAGTGTCAGCTCATACACTACACATGTCAAAATCTGATGGAGAGATGCTCAGCTAGTACATTTCCAAATTGAATTAATGCCACAAAGGAGATAAAACCTTTAAATTTTTAGTATTCTTTCCTCAGCACGAGGCCACGGAGAAACTTTCTGTTTTTCGTCCTTCTATTGTAAATATGTGACTTTTTTTTAATGTGGAACACAAGCTAGTAACTGAAGCTGCGAGGGATTTCTAATGAGGCTTTAGACATTTAATCATGTTTTACTTGTCTGTAAGTGTGTGTGTGTGTGTGTGTGTGTGTGTGTGTGTGTGTGTGTGTGTGTCCGATGGCTGTTTATCCTCACAGCTCTGTCACAACATGACGGCTGCCACGGTTATTGTATCTGCTAAGTTAAAATTAGCCGTCTGAGCCAGGCAGCCCCCAACTCTGTCACACACACACACTCATGAACACACACACACCAGACCACACCTGTTATAGTCTCTTCTATTCTGAGAGCACCCAAATATGGTCAAACTGACACACACACACACACAAACAGTAGACACACTGTATGAAACATTGAAATTTGTTACTTTATGTAACTACAATCTATTGACCTGTTTGATGCCATACAATATTCGCCCCCCAAAATCCTGTTGTGATGACCCCCCCAAAAAACTAAATCAGGCTCCACCCGTTAAGTTACGCAACCAATCACAGTCCCTCCCCTAAATTTCAATGTGTCAGTGACATCAAAATAAACAGCTCGGACTAATATTTTCATCTAGTAAACCCTAACCAACAGGAGGTGGACAAAATAATAGAAACACCACATTAAAAGAAACATAGCTTTGAATGATTTAAACAGCACAGACTGCTGACATTAAACTAAAAGATGATTTAATGTAGAGGGATCGATGTGTTTAGAAATGTTTTTATGTTGTTGTTTTCAGATCAAACTTTGTGTCTGGAAAAAAAAAAGAAACTATAAAACCTTGTTTTCTTGTCGCATTTGTTTCGTTGAGCCAACTGTTGTTAATATTTGAGTTTATCCAACTATTGTTGAGAGGAAACCAGAGATTTCCGGAGAAAAGAAATTAAATAAATATAATAAATAGGCCTACATTTAGAAGTAAGTGGAATCAAGAGAAACAAACGCTGTTACTGTTTTTAAAGCCTGGAGGTAGTTTTTATAGCAAAATGATGCTGTCGTCACAAAAGAGGCCAAAAAGTCACAAAATTAGTCTTAAGCTCAAAAAACAGCAACAATAACAACACATTTGACCAAATATCTGAAAACAGCTAAAACATCTTTATGACACAGTTTAGGTTTCGTTTTATACACTTTAATCAGATTCACAAAACTGTAGTCTTTAAATGTAAATAACATGATTCCACTAATATGACATTAATATAGTCTGACTGAAAGTTTTGAGACACTGACCGTGACAGTGACAAAGCAACTTATTGTGCCATGGCAGCCATTATGGAAGCACTTCATGTGTTTGTCTTGTGTTAGCACGTTAAAGTAGGCTACTGTAATATTATATAGTAAACCAGACCAGTAGAGTATACATGAGCATACAGGTATCTCTAAACCAACCAGCAGATCATTTTAATGCCTATTAGGAATTAAAAAACATTTTTCCCCCAAAAATCTCCTCAAAGAAGAAGCACAAATGTTGAGTTTTAGCTACAACACAACACTCATGATGTAAGACATGAATGCAGACATCGACAGACACTTTACCGAAACAAGACATTTGTAAAGAGGTAGAGAGCAAAAAGAGTCTTACCAGGATCAGTGAAGTGAAGGAGAGGAGGTAGAGAAAGACAGAGAGAGGCAGAGGAAGGAGAGAGGAGGAGGAGGAGAAGGGAGGAGGAGGGTCCTGCTGCTGACGGACCCAACAACAGCTGACCCCCAAAATAACCTGAGAGGCTCAGCTCACACTCCAAGGCCACATGAGTGTGTTTGTGCTTATACAAAAGTGTGTCCCTGACAGGGGACGGGCTGTACAGGAAGGCATCCTGACTCACACTACACACACACACACACACACACACACACACACACACACACACACACACACACAGTATATATATGTAAAGTTATAGATAAGGTTCCACACTGTAGCTGTTGTCTTCTGGCTTTTTATGTGTTTTTAAAACGATTTCTTGCCACTTACAGTATCTGTTGTATTTGTTACTACTGAATTGTTTTTATTATCATAGTTTAATCATTTCTAGTTTAGTTTATGTGACACAGAGAAGTCAAACATTTCTACAAAATGTTGAGGAGAACACAATAAAGTGTGCTATCAAGCATAGACATATATAGATTTTTATATTCTTATTTTATTTGATCTAATTTGTATTTTTGTAATATTTTAGCCTTGGTTTTTAGCACTCTGTCACTTATTTTGCTTTGGACTGTTGAGCTGCTCTTGACTGTTGTGCTATCATAGCACAGAATCCGCTCTGTGAAAAAAATCCACAACGACCTGCTACTCTCCATTGACTCTGGTAACTGTGCCATCCTCATCTTCCTCGACCTCAGTGCTGCATTCAATACAGTTGACCATGACATATTAATAGACCGTCTCCACCATGGCGCTGGAATTAATGGCACTGCTATGAACTGGTTCACATCCTACCTCAACAATAGAACCTTCTCCGTAAACATAGGCACACTCTCCTATCCCCCAGCTACTCTCTCCTGCGGCGTCCCGCAAGGTTCAGTCCTAGGTCCCATTCTTTTCTCCATCTACATGCTTCCCCTTGGTCAAATCATTCAAAAATATTTTGTGGAAAGGGTTTGATAAAGTTTGATAAACAGGTTAACTCAGTAGTCAAAGCCAGTTTTTTCCAACTTCGCACCATCGCAAAAATCAAACCATTCCTCAGTTTCACAGACCTAGAAAAAGTCAGCCATGCTATTGCAACTCTCTTTACACTGGAACTGATCAGTCATCTCTCCCCCGTTTACAAGTAGTACAAAACGCTGCAGCCAGACTTTTGACAGGTACCTGAAAGAGAGACCACATCACCCCTGTCCTAGCCTCTCCTCTGGCTGCCAGTGCAGTACCGTATTGATTTTAAACTTCTTTTATTCACATACAAAGCCCTGAATGGAGTGGCCCCTTCCTACATGACAGAACTTTCAACCCCATACTCCACCTCCAGACCCCTCAGGTCGGCTGACCTGGGGCTTTTAACTGTTCCACACACTTATTTTAAACTCAGGGGTGACCGTGCCTTTGCAACACAGCATTCCCCCCTCTGTCAGACTTGCCCCCTCCATCGACTCTTTTAAATCAAGGCTAAAAATGTTCCTTTTTACTAAAGCTTTTGAGTCCTACTGATGTTGCCCATGTGTTTATTTGTGCCTTAATCTATGTTGGTTGCTGTTTTTGTTCTGTTTCTTATTTTACTTCACTTGTATCTCTTTTATTCATTGTTAACTGTACAGCACTTTGGTCAACTTGGGTTGTTTTTAAATTTGTGCTTTATGAATAAATTTGACTTGACTTGATTTGACTATAATGTGTAAACTTTTCCTGTGTGGGATTAATAACATTTATCCTGTCTTATCTTATCTTATCTTATCTTATCTTCACACTGCTGCTATATCATATCCAGACAATATGCATGTATGTATCGTCACTCCAAAACAAAATACAAAACAAAAATAAATTAAATAAATAAACAAGACTCAGTGCTCAGTTCTCTAAAAAGCTGTTTTATTCATTATTGCAAATTGAACACAACATTCTCAGTAAAGTGACTTTTTTTTCACCAACTCTGTACAAAGTCATCTCTGAAGCAATGCTTAAGGTAAGAAACATCTCAAAGCGTTAAAGAGACAAAGTATCCAGACTCTTATCATCTCACAGTATCATGACTACAGATGTAAAGTATCACTGGCTGAACCTGTTGCAGAAATTGAACTTGTGATTTTTGCAGCTTTATGAGCTCCAAAATACATATTTACATGTCTGAATCCTGCTGAAACTAAAACTGCAGGTTTTATTATTAATCTACAGGTTAAAGTCTGTGGCCACCAGAATAGTTTAAAATGGTTTGGATACGTTTGGCAACAACAGTACGCATGCGCAAATCCTTGGCAATCAGAGAGGATGGCACAAAAGTGATGCTGGGTGGGGCTGGTTATCTGTTGACCGGCTGCAATCTGATTGGCTGTTTGCCAAAGTGCTGTTGTCTTATTGGCCAAAGAAGAAAATAACTTTCGTTAACAAAAAAGATGGATTATTTTCCACAGACGGAAAGAAACAGTTTGGTGCACACCAGCCGCAGGATGTTGTTATAAACCAAACCTCACGTAAAATAACCAGATTTAAGGTGAAGTGGTTCACCTGGGGAAAATGGCTCACTGATGGCCTGTCAGACAAGACGCTGTTTTTGATTCTGTGTGTTGTGACTCGAAGGGACGGTAGCTGTTTATAATCTGGCATTTTTCTGAGAGGATCACCGGACAGGAGAGCAGAACGACAGCGTGGTGAAACTCAACAAACAGAGCTACCCAAACTGAGAGCGCATACAAACAGGAAACATGAAAACAGGTATGTGGCGGGTGTGGGAGTGTCACCTGTGTGTTAAACTGTGTGAGTAAAGTTAAAAGTAAGGGACCGTTCATTACTTATGAGGGGGTGTTGCAAAGAGTGGGGGCTAATGCTTTTTTATTGTGGCATAGGGAGGGGCATACAAATTTAAGTGGTTGTATTTTTTATTTATTTTACCACTGTTTTTTTTTTAAGTAAACATGCCTTACAAATGTGCGGGTTTGAAAGACATGCTTTCTTAAAAAAATACCAAAATAACACCACAGTCTGAAACTGTAAACACAGATATAATCATTGGATTTTCAAATTTTTGACGGTCCTTGGTCCTCCACATCATGTGCAACGAATGCTTCCATCATAACAACCCGCTCTCACTTCTATGTCGCTGAATAGCAGCACTTATTCAATGACTTCTGGTGTCAGACACCAATGAAAAAGCCATCCTTTCACATCAGCATGATATGTATCCGGTCACCATTTTTATTTAAGCGCACCTGGCGGCATCAAGGGGAAATGTGGCAGGACAGCAACATAAGTTAAAGGGGGCAGAAGTCCGAGTTTGGCCCGTAGGAGGGGAGGTGGATGGGTCTAACAACCACCAACTTTCATCCAGGAAGCCGGTTCACTTCCCCTAAGATTGTAAAGCCAAACCCGGTTCTTTTTCCTAAACGAAACAACGTGCATGTGTTGGTGAAGAAACAAAAAATTGTCATTTGTGGTGTTGTGCTGACGTAGTGCTTTTATCTTGAAAGAGACTGTATGCAAACTGTACATTTCCTGTGAAAACAGAAGTGTATTTTGAAAACAGACAATGCATGTAACAGGCTGAAGTTGACACAGTGTCCCAGAACGTCAACAACCAACACACCCAGGGTACCTTGGACGTCATATGTGGACGTGGAAAGTCCATGACCAAACGTGGACATGTGACGAGGTCACAGTGAGGATGTGTTGGTCAAAAGAAAAAAGCCTATCTTAAAACAGCCTCGTGATATTTCATCAAGTCACAGCCCAGCCTCCACCCCTCCCTTTGATGAATAAAGAACAGTCCCTAAATGAATAGTGAATGCTTTGAAAATAAAGTAAACAAGTAACCCTCCAGGCTGCACTCCGCTTCAGCCACAGGTTTCCACTCAGCCTCCTCTTCCTCAGCTCACTCTGCTCTGCTGTTTGCACACAAAGTCCGCCACCAGCTCGAACTCGTTGTGTCCGAGCCACAGCTCCGGGAGCTCCTTCACACGGTCCAAACCGAACTCCACCACCAGCCCCATCAGAACCTCCTCGTCCACCTGATCAGAGTCTATACCGGGGACCTGTTCCAGGAGTCCCGCAGGAGTCCACCCGGGCGCACCAAGGTGCGCTGCGTCTCTGCCGTAGTTAACAGCTTGTGGCTCGTGCATGTAGTTGTGATGATGGGATGCGTGTTGCCCGTGGTTACAGTACTGCGTGTTCAGTTGCTGCAGGTGCCTGCTGGCCGACAGCTGTCCCGGTGATGTCACCGGATAGATGCGCACTCCGTGACGCGCCGCGTTACTGTCAACATGCCCGATGTTCACATGCGCGCTCCCGACTGAATGCGCATCATCGGTCACTCCGAGCCCCATCGTGAGTCCGTCATACTGGAGCTGCAGCGGCTGCTGGAGGTGAAACGAGGTCGAGAACTGTCTCATCCCCAGCTTTCTGCGCGCTGGGTCGCAGCAGGCGGCGAGTTCACCTGCGCGGTTCATCACGGCCATGACGGACTCCATCATGTGTCCGAGGGTCTGTGAGAGCAGGGCGAGACACACCAGTACACGAGTGAACACAGAGATGCCTGACCTGAGAATATGCGTCACAGCACAAATCACCAACCCTCCTCTTCATACCTCTTAATTCTGCAAAAATAAACTACAATAAACGTCAAGTGCCTCAGAATGCGTTTATACTATAGACGCACCATCTGAAATAAAATGACTACAGTCACGTGGATTTGTAAACACGATTCAAATTTGTCTCATCCGACACGGAACACACACTCCACACTTTAAAAAGACAGTGCGAAACTGTTGCAGTCTATGCGCACAAAAAGCATGGACATATGTTTTTCCAATATCAAAAGCATTTCTTTTTCCTCTCAGAATCTGACACTCACCGTCCAGACACAAAGTTGTCTACATGTCCTCCGATAGTCGCGTTACGTCAGATGATCAGCTGGAGGAGCGTCGCGCTGTAAACAACCTGCATGTCTTTTCCCTTATTTGCGCTTTTACGCATCAAACCCGCTCCTCAGCTCGTTGCGCACCGGGCGGCTCTCACTACAGTCCTGTATCAGGTCGCTGTTGTGAAACTCGACGTGACTGACCCTCCTCCAGCTGCCTCGAGGCATTTGTTGGATATTACGCATGCGTTTACGCATTTTTTTTTCAATCCCCCAAAAAACTCAAGCTCCTTCAGATGCTCTGATGTCTGGAGAGGATGGATCCAAACATGACACAGTACAGAGGGCAGTGCGGAGGAGAGGGACAGGGTTGGTGTGCGATATGTGACCATCTCTATCACAGCAGGACCACCTGGATCAACACAGTTATTAACATGATATAAAGACAGCAGCAGATTTGTACAGCATGTGGGGGTGTAGCACCAAAGTCTGCACCTATGCAGTCTCTGGTGGCCCCCTGCCATTCCCCTTTTCCTGTGGCTGTCTCACACACCTTTGATTTTATTTTTAAGTCAATTTGCTATTGTTCCCTTTCCTCTCAGTGATGCAGCAGCATAATCAGTCACTCACTCGGCTTCAGCTGCGTTTAGAGACAAATCATGGGCGTATAAACTGGATACAGCATTAAACATTAAACCTTTAATTCCTATGGAAGTTGCTCGGTGGTGCATGAAGACAAAAATGGTTCAGCTGTCATGTATAAAAATAACTGGATGTTCTGGAGATTATCGGCACTACTTGTGCACTGTGTGGCCCACAGAGCATGCACACCAGAGACCCACAGTGGCCAAGTGCAGCCAAGCAGCTGACTTCCCCCACTGAACACTTAACTTCTGGTTTAGCACTCTGCTAACTTGGATGGGGATAAAATGATTTAATCGTGCAGCTCCTCTGGTCTTACCAAATATTGTAACAGCTGATGGTGAAAGAGTCATTTCACAGTGGCCGTGATGCTAAAAAAAAGACGGATTTACAGACATCTTTTTCCTGATGGAAGTCAATAGGAAAAAGTCTTCGTGGGCTGCAGAGCGTCACGTGACGGACCCCTGAAATTACAGTACAACTGTTCGAAAACAGCTGCTTGGTCAGTGACTTCTGGAGTCAGAGACTGACAAAAAACATACGTCCTTTCATGTCAGCATGACACGCGGCCGGTCTCTGTTATTGTTTAATGGTGCCCAGTGGCGTCAGAAGGACACACAGTGGGACAACAACAAAACTTAAAGCAGTCCAAGTCGGGTGGGCAGGAGGGGTGGTGTTTGGGTCCAACAACCATGTTTTTGCCTGAGAAATAGCTAACAGCAGCATTTATCTTCTTTGTTTGGAAACCCCAAATATTATTAAACAAGAAAATATATTGTCAGATTTGGATTAAAAATCATCATCCTCGTGTTCTCCTCATGAAACTGTGAGTGCGTTTGTATTTTCGGTTTTCATTGATGTAATTTCAGTGTTAAGCAGCGTAAAATGTGAGAATTGCAGAGCAGCTTCACTCCTCCTCCTCCTCCTCCTCCTTCTCCTCTCACTTTCTCCTCCGTTACCCTCCTCGCCTCATCTCACCCTCGTCACCACGGCAACAGTGATGGAGACAAATGACAAATGTTTGCGGCTGTAACAGAAACTTGCTCGATGATTTATTGGGTCCACCTTAATTATCATCACCCAGCTGGTCTGTGTGTGTGTGTGTGTGTGTGTGTGTGTCCTCTGTTCGTAACTTTACCTTTTTTTGTCATAAATTTGAAATGACTCATGAGAAACAACAGACACTTGCACGTTCTTCTTCTACATACGATGATCTCAGTTGTATCTTGGGTCATAAATTCGGGCAGAGAGCATTTTGAGTTCTTGATGTGCATCCTCACAGGTTGCTGTCATCTCTTTGGGATACACCACTCTCCTCTTTTCTACTGTAGCAAACTGTAGACACCTTCAACGCCCCGTAAAGCAGCAGGTAACTACATGGTCTTGTGACTATGTGCTGTGTCAGCACTAGAGAAAGGTCTGGAATCACCGTGAGCAAAAAAATGCTCTGGCTTGGTTTTGTTTCTTTGTCCTTTGCTGAGCAGAAACAAACAGTTTTGTGTGAAAGGAATGAAAAGCCTGTCCCAAATATAAGCTCATTCCTTTCAGTGATTTAAACGGGCACTGTGTAGGAATTTCTCCCATCTAGTGTTGAGATCGTATATTGCGTTCAAACGGATAGCGCACTCTAGCGCCTCACTGTTTCAAACGCGTATTGCAACAACGGTAGCTGCTGTGTACCAAAAAGCTATGATAACACTGATGAAACCACGTCATCTGATACTTCATGGAGTATTCATTCAGGCTCCTACACAGACACACGTGACGCGAGTTGACAAACCCCCTCCTCACCATGCTGGCTGTGTTTACAACGTAGGACTGTTGGGGCAGTTGCTGGTCGCTAACAGCTGTTAGCCGCTGTTAGCTGTGATTCTCCTTCAGCAGCTCTCTCCACCTGGGAAAGGCTACCCCGATGTTGACCCTCGTTTTTCAAAATCGCCGGTCACGTTGCCTTTTTGCCTTTTTTCAAGCGCACCGGCACTTGTGACTAACCTGCTTGCTGCTGCTTTTCGTCACTCTACCTGCAGGCGGAAACCGGAAACAGACAAGTGAAAAAGAAAAAGGAGATTAAATATTTCTCAAGTATGTCCTTGAAGGTACCTGTACTTTCAAGATGGCGCACATATATGATGAGACACCGGTCGCACTGTATATGTAAATGAGAATTTAGGAGCTTAAGGACATACTTAGATACACTGATGGAGGTAAATACACATGTGCTAGGACACACTTTTGACTGCAAAATTTGTTTGTCTCAAAGAACAACTGAAACTGTTACACATAGTGCCTTTAAGTAAATAATCACCCGGGCTATTAGTTTGAGTTTTACAGTAATAACATTGATAGCAACCTAAAAGTGTGTGCGCACTGCTCGGCACGCACACGCCGCAGCTGAACCAGTGCAGCCCAAAACACAGTGTGTCTGAAAGGTCCTTAACTAGGAGAGCTAATACAATATATATGAGTATGATCAATGGTTATCATATTGGCTGTGTTGGTGCCCTACACACAGTGCATGATGCACATGCCTGTAGTGGCGGCGCTGGTTTGGAGAGAGTTTTTAAAATATGTCAAACGTTCCAGTCAGCAGAGAAACATTAAACTATAAATCTGAACTATAAAATGAAATGGACTCATGACAGATGAGATACAGTGCAGCATATTGTCGTCTTTCTCACATACAGACTCCTCCACACAGATCAGTCAGCACTGTGTCCTTCCAGGCTCAGTTCACATGAAGCAGCTGTGAAGTTTGATGACTAAGCAGGTGGTTGGGAAGCAGGCTCTGCCAGTCCGCCAATTTATGCAACCATCAAGTATGGAGCATGTGTAGTGACGGCCACCTGAGGTTCCGTCTGCATCAAGAAGCATTAGTAATTCCTCCCTCCAGTAATTAGTCCTGTCAGCTCCAATCAGAAGCTCTAATAAGGCCAGAAAACAGCAAGAAGTTCAGGTCCGACTCCCAAGCTGTGATCTGAGCGTGAAGCTGTGGAACAGATGCCGACATCAAACAGCCACCACACTGCAGATAATCTGTGCACAACTTCACGCTATTATGGAAACACACACAGCTTTAATTAGTCAAAGTATGAAGACTGAAATGTCTTAACAATTATTTGATGGATTGCTGTGACATTTTTGACGTTCATGGTCCCCAGAGACTGTATCCTAATGACTTAACCCTAACAGGTTGATGTTTGTGGTTCAGAGTGAAATGTCTCAACAACTAGAAAAGGAAAATATTGCAGAGGAAAGTTTACATGTGCGCCCAATGCTTTAGATCTGCAGGAGAAACATTTTGAATAGTTAACATACAAGAGGTTTGCTGAAGTTTAAGTGCAGGCGCTGAATAAAGCTGATGTATAAAATCTTAGTTGGAGGGCTGTGAAGTTGAAGGATCAGTTGAAGCGCTGAAGTGATGATAATAATTTGAGCTGGAAATGTAAATTGAACTGGAAGTTGGGAAAGACGTGAAGAACACTTGAACTGAAAGATGTCGGCTGAAAGCAGCTGAAGGAAATTGTGTCGGAGCAGTGACAGTTCTTAGACTGAGGCAAAGTTTTTGTTTGTTTGCTCCGCTCCTCTCAATGCGTTCACTTCAGGGACACTTCAAACTCTTTTAGGTTGTCACATTTTGATGTGTCTGTTGAAATTGAATCACCGAAAGCTGACAGAGTCTTTAGACAATGCACTCTTGTGGGTTTTGCAAATGGAAACACACTCAGCCGTGAGCAGAAGGCAGTGATGTAGGATTGTATGAGGTACTTATCCATAGTAAGTGTATTATCTTTATTCCTTTGCACCAGTGATAGCTGTGGCCGGAGGCGATAT